AAAATGAAAGAGCTGGGTTCTGCATCTGACAAACTAAACTTGACATTTAGGATGGTTTTCACACCTGTAAGACTGTCTCGGGAAGATTTTTCAGCCCTTTTGGTTGAAGAACGACAAAGTGGAGGAAGTTGCAACCTGTTTCGTCTTTGATTCTGAAATCGGCACCTTTTTTCAATAAGACAATATGTTAAAGGGATAGTTCACCCAAACATGAAAATTCTGTCATTAATTACTCACCCTCATGTCATTCCAAACCCACAAGACCTTCGTTCATCTTCGGAACACAAATTAAGATATTTTTGATGAAATCCTAAAACTTTCTGACCCTCCATAAACAGCAATGTAACTACCACGTTCAAGGCCCATAAAGGTAGTAAGGACATCGTTAAAATAGTCCATGTGACATCAGTGGTTCAAGAGTAATTTTGTGAAGCTACAAGAATACTTTTTGTGCGCAAACATTGTCGTGGTATTCTCGTGGACATGTGTTGAAGACCGACACGGAAGAGAAGAAATTGTTGAATAAAGTCATTATTTTTGTTTTCTTTGTGCTCAAGAAGTATTCTAGGCTGTCTATGCAGGGTCAGAAAGCTATCAGATTTCATCAAAAATATTTTAATTTGTGTTCCGTAGATGAACGAAGGTCTTTGGAACGACATGAGGGTGAGGGTGTTAATGACAGAATTTTCATTTTTGGGTGAACTATCCCTTTAAATACGCAGAAATGTGCATGCAAATAATTTTGGAGCCAGAATGTGTTGAAAATTGATAAAAATGTTTACCAATTGACAGCAAAAACGCAACTGTTTTCCAAGCACAGCATTTGGAGGCCATCAGCAGAGGAGACAGTCCCTTACAGTCAGTGCAGTCAATTTCTGCTCCCTTTCCAAGACAAATGAGATCCAAATAACAGTGAATTAACGACTTTATCTGAGGACATACAACGAGATATTGGACATCAAAGGACATACGATAAGATGATGAGATATTGGGTGCTTAATATTCGTCTTATCAAAAGATCAATCGATGCTTTGCAGCTTGCTGTTTCACAGAATGCACATACAGCAGAATGAAGGTTTGAGTTGGGCTGTTTTAGCCGCTCACATTCTCACAAAGCAGCCATTCAAACATTTACCTTTGAAATAAGATATTCAGCCAACTCGACATGATCAAACAACGTGGCTCTATTAGGAAACGAATGTAATTGTTAATCATTAAAGCATGGAAATCAATCAAACAAATGCAGCTGTGAATTGTAATCGGCCAAGCATGCTAATGGCACAACCTTTATTAATACATTTGTTTGAAAATAGCAAGAAAGTGTTTTAAAAGCCATATGTAGAATAAAATAAAATATTGAACCATGTACATGTTACATGTTAGATGTATATATACATACTAATCAAATGATTAAGCTGCATAATTCAATGTGTGTGTGTGTGTGTGTGTGTAAAACTATACTGAACTAAAACTTTTATAAGTTCTGTGAAAAAAACTTTCCTTTGGTCCTTAGCCCCTATTTATTTTATAGTAAAGAAGTCTCATATTGCAACACCAGCCCAGGAATGCCTATCATGGTTCAAGGAATGCTCTTTAAGTTAGGTTGCTTTAATGAATGTTTCACCATATAATTTACAGGGTTTTCTTGTACTCGGAATAAGTTACAAGTGTGAAATCCAGTGCGGATTTGCTCAAAAGTCCTAGTATGATCCTATCATGTTCTTATATTTCATGTTGCACTCCTAGCACTGAATCGTAGAGTGAATAATTTAAAAGACATCTATTTTTACTTGTAAGCAGTCTACTGTGTGCATTTCTGTAAACATGTCATATCTTTTTAAAGGGATAGTTCAGCCAAGAATGAAAAACTTCCCATTTCAGGTTTTAAACAACACCAAATGCCACTTGCTTTTGTGCATCTCCTAATCAAACCAAACATAGCAAGTTTATTCACACAACACTGTGAATAAGTTTTAAGATTTATGAGTAACTTTTTTTAAATGTCCTCAATATACAGCTTAAAAAGACTTAGAATATATAGTAGCATCATTTGGACTTTTATGGTGCTTTAACTGTGTCTTTTTTGGAGTTTGATAACCCATTCACACCAAGGATGATAACTATAACTATAAAATAAATCTCTGACAATAGGGTCACTATTGACAAATCTATGACAATCAAATCAAAGTCCACACCACAACCATAACAATAATGACAATATTGTTGGAATTACTATTATAATTTTTTTTTCAGCTGATGAATGATACAAACATTGACAGCCAATCAGAATCTACCTGACTTTAAACCAGCTGTATGTAGTTTTGTCTATTTTTGCGACTTTAAAGCCCCCTACAATTGAGAGGAATTTACTTTCGTAAATATATCACTGTGGTAATTACAGTGGATAGCTGTACACTAGCATTTGTTGCTGCCGCCCTTTTTGTGGAATTTCGTAACTACTCATCAAACATACTCCCAGAACAGACATTTGGGGAGAAGTGTGGAAAAGAAACAGAGCCAGGAACCTTATTAAGTCAGCGCACCATTAAAATGATTTTGAATCTGATATTTTAAGGTAAAAACCTTACATGGCTTGAAAAACATAATGTGAACTAAAACTTCAATCATACACCAATGCTAAAGTGCAAAAAAGATGGTATTATTATCATAAAACCTGAAAATCTGGAGCACCAAGATGAACTTCCTCATCTGCCCTGGCCAGACAAATCACCTGATTTGAATATCATCAAACCACCATGGGCAGTATTTGAAGAGATGAGTGAAAAGCAGATTCTTCCAACATCTCTGAAGTGATGACATGCATATGTCATTCAATTGGAGACAATTCAAAAGTTTCATGAATCTATGAAGGTTGGAAGTTGTATTAAAAGCAAATGGTGGTAAAACAACTTAATAAAGGAATATTGCCTATTCCCTGTACATACAGTACAGTTGCTTTAAAGAGCTTGAGCATTTAAAGTGGTAGATGACATAATTGCAGCACACACTAATAATAAACACAGAGTTATTATGCGTAGGTGTGGATGCAACATGTGATCCTGGACCACAAAACCAATGATAAGGGTAATTTTTTTTTAAATTAAGTTGGGCTTATGTCATCTTCTCAGCCACCTTCTGCTTTCAGAAGAGCGTCTGCTCCAACTTCTGTTGAAATCAAGCCCCAAATGTGTTCCCTGTAGTGTATCACAACACTTTACTGAGTTATTCTGAGAGTGAAACTGAACTAAGCTGGAACTATTTGAAAATCTGGAATCTGAGGGTTCAAAAAAATCTAAATATTGAGAAAATCACCTTTAAAGTTGTCCAAATGAAGTCCTTAGCAATGCATATTACTAATCAAAAATTAAGTTTTTATATATTTACGGTAGGAAATTTATAAAATATACAATGTATTGTTGGCTATTGCTACATACCCGTGCTACTTATGACTGGTTTTGTGGTCCAGGGTCACATATAGTTATTGTTATAATAATCATTCTCGGTGTGAACAGCCCTTTGGTCAGTATTTCTTGTATGGAAAACAGCAGCATGAACATGCTTCAAATTTGTCCTTTTTATTCCGGTCTAAAATGCCATTGTGAGATCAATTGTGAAAAAGTTGCACTTACAGGCAAGCTTCCAAAACTAACCCTTTTAGCAAATGTGTTCTAAATCTTAAAGACATTCTCCAGTACCAGCAACATCTTGGGCAATAGTATGGAATTTCCTGCTTACGTTATTTGCTTTCCTTGGCATTTATGCCCATATCTGCTAGCTTAACATGAAATGAGATTGCTTCAATCAGCTCTGAGATAAACCAGGAGGTTAGGTCACATAATAACTACTGGAGAGCAGCATGGCATCACACTGACCTATGTAAGGGGGTCTGATTGGCTCCATCCGTGATGTTGATGATGTCTTCCACTTTGTTGTAAGAAGAAAGCATGATTTTGACGGCTTCCAGAGCACCCTGAGTGCAGGCAAAGTGGAGGGCCGTGGATTTGTCACACTGCAAAACAATCAAGCCACACACACACACACACAGACACTGAGATGGAAGTCAGCTATTAGCTTGACATAAGTAGGAAAGGCAGGGTCAGGTAATGCAAGAGGGGGGCAATTTCTCAGCTGCTGCTCCAGTAACACAAACCATTAATGAGAGAGCACCCTGAATTGCTGTGGCAATGGACAGAACGGCCAAGCTCAGTTATAGGCGTACATGGCTGCAATTTGTATCAATTTAACTATCTGAAGCTATTACTGAATGCATCAACCCTGCTGCTACAGACTGAAGACGACAAATGGAGGAGTGTGAGTGTGTTTGTGTCTGTGTGGTCAAGATCGAGAGTCAGGCTGCTTTTGTATTCATTGCAGGCCACATTCGTTTATGGCTGCATTTCATGAAAAGATTATTTTGTCTTTCTTTCAGAATCATGACATTATAACTTGACATTAGGCAATTTTGTTATATTTGTCCCCAAACTTCTCAGTTAGCTTTAGTGCGGTTTAATGCATCAAACAGCTTTCTTGATGATAATGGGCTCATGATTGTATTACCTAAATTGCTGACTATCTTATTACCGCTGTAGGAGGAGTTTGATAAAAAATGTTTATGACAAAATTCATATTTGTGGAAAATCTAGTCAGTGGAAAGATGAAACCTGAAACCATGCATTTCCATGAAATTGGCATGATTTTTGTTTCTAGGCCATTATATAGAAGCCCATTTCCACCCCATAAGAAAAAAATGCCTTGGTAAATCCTAATTATGATATAAGACACCAGAATTATTAGATGTTAATAATTGACATAAAAAGTAAAAATTACGTTACTAATTATATGTTAAAAATGATACAAATGTCATAATTATGAAAAAAATATGCTATGATTTTGTCATAATTTGTTTTATGTCATAATTTTGACTTTTTATGTCATAATTTTGACTTCCTATCTAATAATTATGACTTAGTATCTCAAAATTTTAACTTGTTATGACATTAAAAAAATCAGATTTACCAGAGCATGTTTTTTTTTTTATATGTAGTGGAAATGGGCTTTCATATTATTTAGTGTGAAAGTAAATAGAAAGGCAAAGTTCAGCTTTGAACTGTTGGTTGTTGTTGGTTTATCCCAAAAAAAAAAAAAAAATCTGCCATCATCCGCACCCTCATGTTGTTCCAAACCTGTATGACTTTCTATCTTCTGTGGAAAATAAAATGAGATACTTTGAATAATGCTGGTAACATTGACTTCCACTGTATGGACAAAAACACTGAGACATTTCTCAAAATATTTTATTTTATGTTCCACAGATGAAAGAAATTTCATTTTTGGGTGAACTAGTAAAGATTCTTTTAAAGATTAGTTTAAGAACTTTTTACAATACAGTTCAGTGGGCAGCCAAAGACTCCCTGCCAAAAGAAAAATAAACTCTTTCTATTTCATCACAAGCCTTGGGCCATTTGATTTCTTTGATCATTTTAGTTATGCTTGTTAACTTTTATATTTAAAATTAGATTTTTTTATACCTCTTGAAACAGCACTTACCTGTTGCTGATCCACTCTGGCTCCTTTAATGATGCAAAGTTTGATCACCTCAATGTTGCCCCCACGTACAGCCAGATGGAGGGGGGTACTTTTGGTTTTATCCAAATAATTAATGTGCACTGAAGTGGAAAGGCCCAGTTCTTCTCCTTTATAAGGGTGAGAAACAGTAGAGATCAAGAGTTCAGCCTTATTTTTCCATAAATGACAATTCATACAGAGGAATAAAGTAGCAAAATAAAATGGTCATTATTTATTTGCCTCATGTCTTACTAAACATGTACAGTGAAACAAACAAAAAAAAAATGTGTTTCATACAACTCATACTCTATATTTCAAGTCTTCTGGAGTCATACAATAGCTAAAACTTGGAATATAGCCTACAATGTCCCCTTTTGCAACTTTTTTGAAGTGCCAGTCCTTTTTTTTTTTTTTTTTGCATGAAGTCACCATTTATTGTAAATTCATGGAAAAGGAGGTTTACATTATTCAAACTTACTACAGGAAAACAAAAAGCAATACTGGTTTGGAATGACAGAAGCGTGAGTAAAAGATGACAAAATTTTCATTATCAATTGACACTGGCTGGCATTGGGCGATGTCAAAAACCTCAATCACAATGAAAGCATGACTGCTTTGTTTGGTCACCATGTGACATGCTTGCAAATAGATCTGGAGGCTGGCAGTCACGTTTGACATGTTGACCCTTCTATCTGTTTTAGCTGTTTTGCATTTAAGAATCTGAAAATATTGGACTGTAATGTAAATGAAAACTGTGTCATCTGTCTCTCAGCCAAAGGGAGCTGTCAGAAAAATCCACAAATATTTATATCTGGAACACATCGTTCCAGAACAGAAGACCACCCGTGCATTGTGCACAATCATAGCGCCTGTCTAAACAGCATGGTGAATGGGTTGAGAGTGGATTCGTCATGGTGAATTGGTGGAATAAGAATATTAAATTCACTTGCCAATTTCCAAAACCAGCTCCATGGCCTCTTTGGCACCTGCAAAAGCAACCGTATGGATAGAGTAGTGACCCAATTTGTTCTGAATACACATCTTGGCACCATGTTTGAACTGTAAGGAAAGAAAATAATCTATTTTATTACACAATATTTGGGAATGAGGATTCTGTCAGTCACCTTTTTTATTTTTATTGCCCTTTGTACTCACCAGAAACTGAATAGCTTGGCAGTTATTAGTGCAGCAGGCCATCATCACAGGGGTGTTTCCCAGATCCCCCTCCAGATTGGCATCTGTTTTGTCACAGGACTGAAAAAGGACCTGTGCCAGACACAAACAAAATGATCATCAGTTTCCGCAAGGCACTCAATCAGTATAATTCTTCCAGGATTTCACCCTGACAGGAAGCAGATTCTTCAAAGAAGATGCCCTTAAATTTCCCACTCAGCTATTCGTATGCTATCCGAGCAATATCACGCAAGCAACAGTGTTGTTGTTGGGGATATCAGAAAGACCATTATTTATTTGACCATAGGCATGAGGCCACAGGTAATTATATTCTATTTTTTTATTTGATTTATTTTCAATTAGTTGCCAAAGCTACCTGTCTAATTTTTTAAGTTTGAGTTTTTTCATCTAATAGAAGGTATATATATATATATATACACATTACATTTAAGCTTCATTTAAATTAACGAAAAACATTTTATTCATTTTAGTTTATTTCAAAAACCAAACTGCCTCTACTAATGAAAAACAGATCCAAAAATGTCAAGGCAGAATCACCCGCTGTGTCTCCATGTTTCATTCCTGAATGAATGAATCAGTGCTGTGAATTGGTTGAATGAAAAATTCAATGACTCACTTGTAAAGACACTGGCTCAATTCAGAAAAGCATATTAGCATACTACTATTACAATT